TGCTGCAGCTGGTGCCTCTTTCCACAGCAACAAGAGGAGAGTGCCTCCAGTCCCACATCCGTGGTCCCAGGTCCAGCCTGCAGGCAGTAGGTTGCTTTCCCCTATGTATGAGGATGAACTTAAAGTTCCCTTGACTCATGTCTCTTGCACCAAAGCCTATCATTTGCACAATATAACAGGAAAAAGGCAGTCTTATCTCCTTGCTGTGGGGCTGTTTTCATAATCTGAAATTTTGTTCAGAAATAAACCTGGCATTGTGGATATAATGTCTCTAGTTGATTTTTTCCATGCTTGATATATTCTTGCCTCTTGAACCAAGTTGCATAGATCAGGGGTCAGCAAGTTTGTATCTGGCCCACTGAACTGTGGCATTCAGCAGCAGGACTTTCTACATCTTGCTGCAGCTGGGTATCAGGGGCTTTGGCAGAGGGGAGCTCTCCGCCTGCCTTGTGGCAGTCAGGTGCCTGGGAGCTCCAGTGGAGGGAGCTTTTCTTGTGCCGCACTGCAGCTGGACAGCATAGGCTCTAGCAGAGTGGGGCTGACTGCCACTGCATTGCAGCTGGGTGGCAAGGAGAAGTCTTGGAGGTGGCTGGGTCCTAGTGCTTGTAGGCTTTAGACCCAAGGCTCACCTATTCTGGCTCACACTGGGAAACATTGGTGACCTTTGTAGGCAGTTATTAGATATGCTAACGCTTTTCTTTCACAGTTGGAGGTCCTCTGTGTACATGTCCTCTGAGTTGAGGCTGTCTAATTTTGATATGACTGGAGGCCAAGCTCCATGCAAGCTGCACTAGTGGGGCTGAACACCCCTTTGGGTGCAATGGTGTGAGCCATGATTCCCTGCTGCCCCTTGCTCTGGGTGTCCAGGTGGATAGTGCTGCTTCCTTTGCTGCATAGCAGGGGTGGGTGGCCTTGTTACTACTAGTCTCCTCCTCCTAATTTAGTAGCCACAGGCTCTCCTGCTGCACCATGCCATGAGCTGCTTCAGCACTGAAAACTATGCCTTGCCACAACCTGGGTAGGCACAGAAATCTGAAACTGGATGGATAGCCTGGAGCTCTTGGCTGCTGCTGCAGCTGGAGTGGTAGGGGCAGTGAGTGGGGGAGCAGCAGATTAACTGCTCATAGGCCACCATTCAGACCAGGGGTGGGCAAAATGCGGCCCATGGGCTGGATGTGGCCCACCAGGGCATTCTATCCGGCCCATGAGGCCCCTATAATGTTTAGAAAATTAATATTTATCTGCCCCTGGCTCCCTGTCATGTGGCCCTCGATGGCTTGCCAAAACTCAGTAAGCGGCCCTCCGCTTGAAATAATTGCCTGCCCCTGATTCAGACAGATCTGCTCTGAGCAGTCTTTTCCTTGCTGAGGCACTGTAAGGCCTTTTCCATAATGCACAGTGGAAACTCAGCATATTAGATTAGTATAAAAATTATGGATTTTTATTGCTATCTGGTTTTAACTCTAGGCTTTATCCCATCACTTCTTTTTTCTTTTGCAGATATTTTGCAATACTGACTCTGTAAATGCAAGTACCTTTATAAGGAAAAGGAGAGGGTTTGCAGACTTCACTTCGGAAACTTCTGCAAATTTTATTTTTGTGGTGAGCCTAATTTGTACTCACCTTTCCTAGTAGAAAAATAAAATGGGACACAATAGCAATCCTTAAATCTTGATAATAAGCGCTCACTTTGGAATATGCATACATCTATATTGTATGTCTTATAAAAATACTGTTTCTATTAAAGAGCCCACTTGGATTTTGTTCATTTTGGACTATATATCTGATCTTCATTCTCCTTAAACAAGACTTTAAATTTTTGACATTGTTCAGTAATTTCTTGGCCAGCTTCACATCCAGAAAATGCAGTAAGGCATACAGTGTATTTTAAGCTTGGCAGGAAACAGTGTTGCAGTAGTTTTTCTCTGCACCACATTTCTCCTTTATCAGTATGAACTTTTTTCTTGGCCCCCCACTCAGTGTGGGTGAGGAAGAGATATAGATTCATTTAAATTCTATTTGGTACATGGAAAATTAACAGTCTACATCTCATAAATAGTACTTGCCAACACTTTCTTTTGGGTATTCAGTAGCCTCTTTTTGTGTTGGATCAGACTTGGTATCAAGCCTAACTAGTGATAATAATTAAGATTTTTGTTTTACTGTACTTAAGATCATATGTTGCATCTATCATTCTAGCGTTGGAAGCTGAAATGTGCCATGCTGGGTGCTTTACTTTTTTTTTTTTGAGTGATTTTTGAGTTTCTTGCCTCTACTTGAATGATTTCTAATTGCCTCTTTTAAAGCAAGTTTTCAGAAACTTGCTGCTCTAGCTTGTGCATTTTTATAAAATGCCCTGTTCAGTTTTTAGCTGGGTCGTCATTCCAGTTACTGCCTTCTAATGCAATAATTTCTTTAACATCTCTTCTTTGCGACCGTTGTGTGGGATTCATAAATTAGTAAGCAAGTGGCATTTTGAGGCCTCTCTCTTGGCTCCAGACAAATAGAAAACAACTAGGTGTGCACATTGTAGTAGTTATAGGCTAATTCTATACTAGATTAAAGTTGTTTGTATCATATTTTATTGGATATCAAAATCCTACAAAAGAGGGTACACCGATAGAGATTTTTGGGGCCAATACAGATACCTGATTTTTAAGGCAGCATATTGGCCAATATCAATTCGATATCTGGTATAGCGTGGAGAGCTGTCTCCAGCTGGTTAGCCTGTTGTGGTGGAGGGGGAGTGGGGAGGAAAGAGGTGTGGGGGGCAGATTGAGGCCCCCACGGTGAGGGAGAGAGGGGACTGAGGCAGGTGCTGCTGGGGTGGGACATGGGACAGAGGCATGGCTCATGGGTGGGGCAGCTCCTGCTGCTGCTTGCACCCCGGGAGGGTGGGGGGGGGGCGTGTCCCCCCCAGATCTGCATGGGTTGAGAGGGTGGGCTGGAGCAGAGCTCTTCTCACTGGGGGCTGGGCTTGGAGCGGGGGCTACAGAGAGGGCTGAAGCCACCCCAAATTTTGCCATAGCTCCCTACCAGCACTGCCACGCTTCCGATGTAGCCTGGCTCAACCCCCACATCCTCCGGTGCACTGGGAAGAACCGGGGTTGTGCCAGGCATGCAGCAGTGCTGGGAGGGAGCTACATTGAAATCTGGGGTGGCTGCAGCCCCCTCTGTAGCCCCCGCTGTGAGCCCAGACCCTGGCAAGAAGAGTCCAGCTCTAGCCTGCAGCTGCAGCCTGCTTGCTTGCCCCACACAGATCTGAGTGCAAGCAGCAGCGGGAGCCATTTTCCTACCCCACACACACAAGCTGCGCCCCTGTCCCATGCCCTGCCGTGGCTGGGCAGTGCCTGCCCATGCCCCCTCGCTCACCACAGGGGCTTTGATCTACTGCCCTTCCACCACAATGGACTTACCAGCTGTAGGCAGCTCTCCACGCAACTTCATTTCAGCTGTGTGCGCACACTGGCATTTATTGGCCAAATTATCAGCCCCATTGGGCCAATTTCCAGCACAGCCAATTTTCTTTATATCGGTAACAATCTGATATCAGACCAATGTATTGGTGCACTTCTGCAATAAAAAGATCAGGAACTTAAGTCATGCCTATGCTGATAGGAGTGTAGCTAAGAAGCTGATTTAAGTGTTTCCACATAGTCCTTTTAGTACCATGCTGCAGTAGTGGGAATAAAAATGTGTTTTAAAGTGCCATAAACTAAGCATCTTTGTCTGATACAGTCTGAAATTATAGACCTTGAAATTTTTGCATGTGCAAGTAACTCAATCAATTTATTTAAATGGAGAAATGCAACATAATATGGCCTGCATTAGCCTTGTGATTAAACTCTACCTTAGGCAGCCAAGCTAAAGTTAAAGTATATGTGAGTACTTCTTACTAACAATACCATCAACCTTTCTTTTTTAACAACTTCAGTTTTAACAGCTTAGTTTGCTGGATTGATATAATTTGTGGGCTGCTTCATTTCCAATTTCTTTCAACTGGCACAACAAAAAATGACTAAATTCATTTTTTTTTTCCAGATGCCAAAGTAAGACTGAAACCTTCTCTTTCAATAAACTGAAGGGGATGTTTTACTTAAGGGGAAACATAGTAGGATTTTAGAATAATATATATCCATCTTATTTATCTAAAAGCTTTCTCACAAGCTTCTTCAATTTTGCAATAAACCTGACCTTTTCCTTTTAATTGCATGGCATTGTCTTTGTAGCAAATTGTGTGTGTGTGTGTGTGTGTTTTGTCTGTTTAACTATTTACTTATTATGTTGCAGTAATCAATTTTTATTATATGCCTCAGTTCTGCTTTGGCTTAACAGGTCTGCAAATGTTTCTGTGAATTCAGATTCAAACTATGAAGTAGTCTGTGGCATTTTACTTTAGTTAGCTTTCAGTACTAAGTTCAGTGTTGTCTACATTGCCAGCCTTCTGCCAATAAACAGCAGCTACCCGAACGTGTCCCCATTCTTATGACTTCTGTTGGCTCAGCACAGCTCCGCTACAGCAGTTGTGCTGCTGACATTGTGCAAGGTGGACTCTGGAAGGGACCAGCTGTTTTAAAGAGGCCACAGACAACCAGCAGAAGGCATGGGCACATCTCTAAGCACTTCTGGCAGCTTCACTGTGGCAACAGAAGCTTTCTGTTGCTTGCAGAACCGTAAAAAGGAAGGGTCTCTGCCACAATGGGGAGTGTGAGTCTGGATGCACTTATAGTATTGCCAGTGGAACTTGAATTCTGCTGGCCAAGCTGTGTAGGATCGACCACACCTAATTCTTGCTATTTGTTTGTGATTCTAAACAGTAGTCTGCAGGAGTGGAAATATAGGAATGGTGTAGCAAAGAAGTGGAGGTAAGTAGCATTGATCTAGTTTTCAAGCCCCTTGAGTGAATTGTGAATAAAGTTGTTTTGAATACTAAATGTATTCTAGATTATTTTAGACTAAGATTGTAGATTGCTGAGTAGATATTCTTTTTTTTCTTTTAGTACCCCATCTCGTGTTGCTAAAGACCATACAAAAATGAGCCTCCATGGTGCTAGTGGTGGACATGAGAGATCAAGAGACAGACGAAGGTCAAGTGATAGATCACGTGACTCATCCCATGAAAGAGTAGAGTCTCAGCTCACTCCATGCATCAGGAACGTTACTTCACCAACAAGACAACATCATGGAGGTATGTTGGAGTCAAATGCGTGTTTCAAAGATGTAATCCATTAATCTGGTTAATTTTGTATTTATTTTTTTCATTGTAGAAGGACAGTAAAGCGGGGTGGGGGAGTCTTAAAAGTGCTGCTAATTGTTTGTTTTAACGCAGGCTTCCAGTAGTACCAACATTTCTACTTGCTCCCAAAGGCATGATTTTCTCTCTCTTATCTTTTGGCTTGCCATTCCTATTTTTCATATGAGACTCCAGTATCTGTATGGTGCTCTAGTATGGGGTGGCCAGCCTGCAGCATGAGTGTCACAGGCAGCCTTTGTGTGGGGCATGCAAAGTATCAGGGAAGGGACAGGCAATACAGCAGCAGATTAGGCAGGACGCAGAAGGTAAAGCAGTGCATTAGGCAGGGAGCAAGGGGCAGAAAGCAGAGCAGGAGTTGAGCAGGGAGGACAGAGTAGAGAACAGAAAATAGGAAGGGAATTGGACTACCACTGTGTGAGGATTCAGGGCTAACTTGTGGCATGCCTACCAAAAAGGTTACCCCCTGCTGCTTTAATCTTCATAATTTCTAGGAAGTTACAATAAACTACAAGATAATACATTGCTGGAGCATGGATCTAACTATTGAAGTCCCCTAAATATTTGAGGGGAGGTTTGGGAAATGCCCTTTTCTTTTTGTTGTTTTTTTAAAGCCCTTCAGTTTTTGACCTTGGGAACTGTTCGGTGCTGTTGTGGGGAAGAAGGGAGGAAGTGTGTTTAACCAAACACTCTTCAACCTCTCTTTATTAATCATCAGTTTAATGATAAAATGGCAAGGCAGATGTTCTTGCAACTTGTGAAATTGTGAACAAGTCTTTATATAATTTATTATTTTGAATATCTTTACTAAACCTTCTCATTCCTGTTATCTGTAACATCTCTCACCCCATGCCATTCCCTATCCTTTTAATCATTTTTACCCCTTGAATCTGGACCCGGATGGATCAGGTTTGGGATTTTGAGTTATTCCCCCCTTCCCCCCCCCCTGTTTTTCAAATACAAAAACTTTTGATTTACAAGAAATCTTATTTAAGACCTGTACTATTACAATCATAGTTCAGTATTTTATACATTTTTTAAAATGTCATTACTGGTAGGGTATATTTTAATTTGAATTTACAGAACCACTGTAGACAAAACACAGTATTGCAAATTAGATCCCAGTTCTCCAAACACTACATATTATATAACTTTACTCAGAAATAATCCTATTGATTTTAAGATAGTCTTTAGATTGAAACATGTACAAAAAGTTTTTTGCATCAGGGTACACAACAGTATTTTTTTAGAAAGGCTTTTTTTCCTTTTGTCATTTTGGAAAGAGTTAACAGTGTCAGCATTAACAAGGAACAGTAACATCAGCTGTTTACCAGTTTCAAAAGCAGCTCTAAAAATGAGCGTCCTTGTATTTTACTATGTGATGTATTTAAAAATCCTGTGTTATTAAACCTCCACATCTTTTTAATATTTAGATACAAGTACAGATATTCAGTTTGTAAGTAAAAACATTATAGGCCAGATACCAACCTGAATTCAGAAGTAGAGGTGCACCAGTGCATTAGTCTGATATCAGATCAATACCGATGTAAAGAAAACTGGCTGTATTGGATATCGGCCCGATGGGGCTGATAATTTGGCCGATAAATGTCTGTGGCGCGTGGAGCTGCAGCATAGCACTCAGGCAGTGAAGAGCACAGCCAGCAGCATGGAGAGCTGCCTCTCCAGCTGGTAAGTCCGGTGTGGTAGAAGGGGAGGGAAGGGGTGTGGTGGTGGGGGGTGCAGATCAGTGGCCCCTGTGGTGAGGAAAGGAGGGGGCAGTGGCAGGTGCTTCCCGGGGGGGCGGTGACTCTTCCAGGCAGGTGGGTGGCAGTGGGGTGTTGAGTCAGGGCTGTGCCCAGCGGCTGGCAGCGGCGGCACTGGGAGTGGAGCGGCAGTGAAATTTGGGGTGGATGCAGCATCCTCCCAGCTCCTGCTCCAGGCCCAGCCCCTGCCCCACCCCTTGCAGATCCAGGGGACCCCATCCCCCCATGCCCTCCTGGGGTGCAAGCAGTGGTGGGAGCTGCTCCCCAGCCCCACCTGAGCAGCCCCTACCCCCTCCCTTGCCATAGGGGGTGTTGATCTGCCCTCCCACACTCCTTCCCTCCCCCCTCCCCTTCCACCACACTGAACTTACCAGCTGGAGGCAGCCATATCAGAAATCAGACTGGTATTGGCCAATATGCGTCCTTAAATATTGGCTATTGGTATTGGCTCCCAAAATCTCTATTGGTGCACCCCTATTCAGAAGCTAGTGATTTTTTTCACACGTGTGTGTGTGTGTGTGTGCGCGCGCATGCATGTACTGCCACAGTGCAAGAAATAAGAAAGCAGAGAGAAAAAGATGCAAAGAAAGACCAGTTTTCTTCCCAGAACTGATGCAGAATAGAGCATATACTGCAGGTGTCCTTTTGAGAACTGCCTCAGTTCTGGAGATTGTGAATGGCTCTGACAACTACTATATAGGCTAAGCAATTCAGCAATTATCACTGATTCCTGAAATCATTCAGCACAACAATAAAAAAAAAAAAAAAAAAAAAAAA